AAAAAATCTAAGGTTATCTGTATCGGAGAAATCGAATGGTGGCGCTATCATGGACCCAGAAGTCAACGGCTCCTCAGAGCAGGAAAAATTAGGGTGTCCACATACTTTTGGTACGCACTGTATGCTTGATTAGAAGTTGTTTGGAATCAATTAGTAATTACTAGAATTCCTTGACTTCCCTCCAAGACACACAGGAGACATAGGAAATCCCATCTCCCATGTTTGGTAAAACTACCCAGTGGAAGGGAGTTGGAAAGCTCACCTCATCGTCATAGAGTACATTGCTGATTTGCGGAACAACTCCTGTCCCAGTTGGCAGGTCGTAGTTTCCGATTCGAACGGCGCGAACCGTGACATGAGGCAGGTTCATAGGAAGTAAATTGGCCAGTCGCTGAGTTTCCTGGAACGGCACTATATTTATTTATTTATTTATTTACTATTGCACAAATGAGATAACGTTAAATTAAAATGGGGGAACAGTAACACAATAGCATGTAAATGTACAACGCCCAATCAGATCTTCGCCTTCCCTCGCTCGAAGTTTACTGCATTGTCTTTGAAATATCACTCAGGCATGAGATATCAACTGGGTTCATGAGGCTGCCCTACGCTGGTGTCGGGAAGGTGAAGCTTTCCAGAAGTCCATGAAACGTAACCTTCATCAGTTAAGTGTATTTCCCTTTCCAGGATGAGCGATGTTCTCCTAGGATTTTCTGGTTAAATGGTAAGTTCCTCGACTATTCAAAGATCGTCCCAACAATAAGGATGCCATGCTCACTTTTCTCCCAATACTGTTATGTAACTATGTTCAGGTGCTAGAGTTGTATAGTCGCTTTGCACCGCTTATCCATCTTGGGGTCAAATCCCTTATCGAATCCTATCTACGTCACCCATCGTTGCATCCAACGACGGTGTCCAATTGCTATTACACCTATTGACATGCTAACGTCGCTTAACCCAAACTTCAAGGGATGGAAGATCCCTTGACCTGTGCGAGTTTTCTTTCTGAGTGTGACCCCTGGTCTGTAAGTATTGGGTTGACCCATAATTTCTGAACGAATTTCAACACTTTGATTTCTTCAAGTTTTATCTTTCCTTAAAAACGATTGATCAAAAAAGTAACCACCATCATAATCACTGATAAGCACCACTTGCTAGGGAAGCGAATGGATGCATTCCTCCCAGAATGAATGGAGCTGTGGAATGAAAAGTTCGGAGAGGTCGTTTTGGGGTGGTTGCATTTACTGACTCTTTTCTCTCCAAGCTGCTGCTTCAGAGAGCTGGGAGGTGATAGTACGATGGAGCAATGTCAGGCTATACGACAGATGTGGTGTCGTGGTCCAGCCAGTTTCCTTCGAAACGTGGCGCAGTTATCTTTGCAATGTGAAATTGTCGCGGCAGTCCTCGGAGAAAGGAATTTGAGACGTTTCGGAACGCTCGCCGCCTCTGCAACCTACCTCGGGAGCTATTCCATGGACAGCATTGCAATGCTTGTCTGCATAAAGTGAAGTTGTTCCCAAAACTAGATACCCAGTGAATCCTACGAACCGGGGATAATAGCCTCGGATGAAACAGTCTTTGGTCGAGATGGTGAGTCCAGGCTGTCGAGTTATCACTAAGATCATACAGTGAATGTGTTGTTATTCGTGAACTCATTCTGCACTTATGTGACAACTAGGAATGTCGATGTCTATGTCGATGAAGGAGTTTTGCAGGGATGATGGTCAGACGTGCTTCTCGGTCATGGTCATTCGATGCCTGCTGTTTCCTTCGAGTCTACATTTCGCTATAGCCCCTTTCTTTCAGGCATTGACTCATGGAGCGTAGGCTGCGTTTCACGTGGTGGCTGTAATTCCCTGCTAACAGCGTCAGGATGCACTTCCTATTCGTTGCGCAAGGGGTCCCATCCATAGTGACTGGAGGTCCGTGATGAGGTCGAACTTTGCAGCTATCTTACTTGCCGATGCTATTGAGCCAATAGCTCAGTGCTCGAACAGTAGCAAAGACTAGGGCAAACGCAGCGCTGATCTTGCCCACGCCGCGCGTTGAAGTTCTTCGTTGGATAATTGCTAGTAAAGCAATAATGGTTGGGTTTGTCGTTGATCTCTTTTGATTCCTACTTAATTATCCCGTTGCGCATTTGAGCTTCTGAAACATCCTGGTTGAAGGTCCTGATGTGTTCTTCAACATATCAACTTATTTCGATATGAAGTTAATTTGACATATTGAAAATTGAATTTGAACCAAAATCGGCCAGAAATTATGGATCAACCCAATATAAAAGATTTACTACTCTCTGCTTTCCTTATCGTGAAGTAATTACTGTGATTATTAATAAATACTATCAGAAGAGAGAGCAGAAACCCACATTCACAACCGCATTAGTGTAAGGTAGACGATTCTTGTCGGCCATAGTGATTGCGCGCGAAGAGCCAATTTCTCGATCCAATTCTTCGTGTAACCTCTCCTGGAGAATACTTTCACTCACTACGGGGCAATAGAAAGCTGCTCTCCTTCGTTGAGCTCACAACTGATTCATAACTTCACTTCACTACAATCCCTGCAGTTAGAAATTGTGCTTGAATAGCAGTCGCTTAGAAATTGATTAAATATTCGAGAATTTCCAACCTGTACGTCCAAATGATTGAGAATGTAGACGACACCCCATGAGAGCGTGTTTGAAGTGGTTTCCATGCCAGCAAACCATAAGTCAAGGCACATATTCTGCAGTTGGATATGCCTGAATATGCAAGATTGCATGCGGAGCCGTTCCAATATTAGACCCTCCTGAGATGCGCCATGCATTCCACTTCTATGCAGGATCGTGCTGACATTTTATGCGGTACAGTCTACATAATGGCTCGGGCAGTACATACAGCATTTTTGCCCACGCCACCGCCGCGCTTTCCTTCATTCAAATATAGCCGGCTGTGTGAGCCCCTTTTCGATTACTTCTTAATACAATACTTTAGCTCCGTGTAAGAATACTTGCAAAACGGAAACTAGGCCAACATTCGAATTCGACCTCTCAAATGCAACGAGATGAAGAACTGCTCAAACAGTTCAGAATGCCTGAACCAACCAGAAAACGCAGGGAAAACTGCTGATGGATAGAAAACATAAGCAGAAAAATGAGTGCCCGACAGGAAGGCCCGTCGCGCGGCAAGAAGGCAGAGTCAGCGGACGAGTCGCAGCGCGTACTGTAGTGATTTCGCGTCAAGTTAAATAGAATGTCCATTGTACGTCCTACATCGCACACACGCTGCGACTCGTCCGCTGACTCTGCCTTCTTGCCGCGCGACGGGCCTCCTGTTGGGTAACCAAAAAAATAGTAAAGACTATTTAAGATGATCACTAAACAAGGGGAAGATGTTGCATATTGATGAAATTCAATTACTACGTCTCGATTTATTTATAAGATGTGTCCGAGGAAATAATGAGCACAGGCTCATACAATTTCGCATTTTTCAAAGTGAAAAGCTCGAGGCGTCTTCAGCCTTTGAATGGAAACTTGGATCTCAAAAGGAACTTCTATCAAAACGGTCGCTTCGAGGAGCTTCTCGTTTGAACGGCCTGCCTCCAAAATTGGACAACGGTCAAACTGTTAGCGGTAATCAAGTAGAATGTCTGAGAGGCCTACTTGAACGACT